CCCCCCCTTCTCTCTCTCTCTCTCTCTCTCTCTCTCTCTCTCTCTCTCTCTCTCTCTCTCTGCATGGTCTGCGTATTACAAACCAAACAGCAATAAGCCTTTGGTCGGGGTTGCAGCGCGGCAGAGCAATCGGAGCGTGAAAACGAACAACAGGAGGGCTCCAGAGCTGAGCGCGGCTGAGCGCGGCTGAGCGCAGCTGAGAGAGCGGTACCACGAGCATCAGGCACTCGATGAAATTGTCAACGGTGGCGACGGACGGGGTTAGCGGGTCGCAACGGTGGGTGGGTCGGAGAGAGAGAGACGGATAGATGGAGAAAGGGGTGGTGGGGGGAGGGGTGGCAGAGGAGGTTTGCTCACAGTGGGCGGGTTGCTCTACTCCGTCAAACCGCTGGGGACACCGATCCACTTGCCGAGGCAGGCAGCCCTGTACTGTGCGTGAGTATCGCGGCGCTGGGCGTGGTGTGGCGGGGCCGGGAGGGGGATCCCGACTGTCGTGATGTGATTGAGTTTCATGTGGAGCCACTCGGGCGCCTATATAAGAGAATGGGATGGGACACTCCAGCCCGCCTGCCCGCCCCGCCAGGAGAGTCGGCTGCTTCAGAGAGTCGTCTCCTCAACCCGGACCGCCCGCCTGGCTGCTGCGGATCTAAAACCGTCTTTATGACGGGCCAAAGTTTTTTCCCCGCGTCTTTTTATTTTCTCCAATAACATCGCGCAAAAGTCTCCGTCTGAAAAATAAGATTACCCAGTCGATAAAGAGGAGGAAGTAGCTTTGGCTCGCCATGCCAAAGGTATGGGATGGGGGCGCTCTGGGGGACGGAGGGGGCGGCCGTGGGGGCGGCGGCGACGTCAGCGGGGGCGGCAGCTGGCCGCCACGGTGTACCAAACAATGCAGACAGCATTATTATCCAAAACCCCGACGAGGCGAGGCGGCGGCCAACGAAATTGCCCCTAATAGCTTCATCTCCCTCGATATCATATTACAGGAGGGCAGGACGTCTAGCTGGCGGGGGCCCGGCCGGGGTCACCGCCCCCCTGACTCCGCAGTCATTTGGGATGCAGCGGGCGCGACACCTTCACGCCGGGCCCGCATGTCGTCCCGCCCGCCACGACCAAAACATTTAAAAAACAAAAAGCAATTACGTCGCGGAGAATCTCTTCAATAAACTTCCTCGCATTTCGTCGAGACTACATGATAGATGCTAATGTAATTTTCCGAACATCACGTTGAACTAAACTACTTTTGTACGGCGTCCTTTACGTAGTACAACCTAACAGCGAAACATGCACATCGTCATGTTCGAAACTACGCGCGTACAAAAGGCACTCGATAGAAATGTATACGACAAGTACAAATGAAAGCACTTGTTGTACACAGCTTTGGTGGTGTGACGCGGCCGCGCCGTTGAAGAGGGGCGTAACGAACGACAGTGTCCGGCGCGACCCATAGCCCGTCGTCGTCGTCGGGAGGCGCGCGTGGTGATCGGGGACCGGCATCAGATAACAGCCGCCGCTGCGGTGCATGCTGGGAAATGAGAGCAGCCGCTCAGCAGAGGGCTGGGGACCTGGCCAGGATGTCCAAGTGACTTGCGCATCTCTCTCCGCCCACACGGCCTCCTGCTGACGGACACGTCCTGGACACGACGTCCACGGACGTATACATCGGTGACAAATAAAAGCGTCTCTCTTCTCGACTCGCTGTGTAAAAAACGAAAGGACGTACTTTTGGCAATATTCAGCGTGGTCAAAATAAACGTCCAAAAGATGCTGCTACGAACAGTGTCCTTTTTCTTCGGAAGAAAGGCCGTGTTGTTGTTCCTGAATGGCCCCTCTGATCCCGATGACATGATCCCCGGCGGTTTGTGGCTCGGCCCGGAGCGGGCGGCACGGCGCGTATACGGAGTGTCGGGACCCGACGCTGATCGGGCCCGGATAGCGACCAGGGCCTGATTTAAATAAGGGACCCTCTGATACTGGGCTGGACGGGGCGGGCGGGAGGCGGAGGAGGG